TGGAACACAAGGAGGTTGCCGAACACAACTAGGTAGGCTAGACACTGATGTAGTTGGGAGGCCTAATTGAACATTGCTGGGTTGGCCCATTATGCTTGCAGAAGCAGGAACATTGGGTGAAAGAGCAGGTGTCTGTGTATTTACAGGCAATGCGAGGTTAGACAATTGCCCTCCAACAGCTGCCATCGTGCGGACTTGTAAGGCTAAATCCATAAGCCCAGGGCTAGAAAAAATAATAGGCAAATAAAACTGCAAAATGAAGGCACAAAATAAACAAAAAGCAATAACTACATAAATTCAAGCATGAAGTATTCACCACAAGGGCTGAGCAGGGTTAGAGCGGCCACGCTTGCGGTTCTTTGGTTCAGATGCTATGGTTACATCTACAAAAAAGAAACTGTATTTCACAAGGGGATGACGTAAAGACGCACAATAGGATATGAATTTACCCAGTTTCATCCCATAATAAGAATTACCATCCTCTCCTGCTACAGCCGCACGGGCAACTACTTCATTAACGTATTGGACGAAAGCATATCCTTTGTGAATTGATATTCCAATTATAGGGCCGTATTTTGCAAAGGCTGCCTCTACTTCGGTCCTAGGCATGGAAACAGTGTTAAGATTTCCAACAAATACTCTGGATTTAAGGCTATTTGGATCTGTTCTATTTGTTATATTGCTGACGCCGATCATAGCAATAATAAAAAGGCCTCAAGGTAGCCAGAGCGAACCAAGCGCCTCACACCCGCCAGTAAAATACCAGTCAAATTTTCGTATTCCTCTGAAAATTTAAGTAGTATTTCTTAATTATAAGCTGTCTTGCTACTTTTTTGACGCGTTTTGCTTTGCCCGCTGGAGTTGATTTTTCAAACCAGTCTCCGCATCCTTTCTCTTCTCTCCGTCATGACTTCTCCACTGGATAGATCTACAGATAATAAGTAGTTTTTACTATTGTTTTTATACACTCTTCTAGTGATGATAATCGAGCCGGTTTTAATTTAACTTCAAAGCGTAAATATGCCGAAATGGCAGAGGAGGTATCTCCTAATTACTCTTATTTCCAGATGAAATGTTGGCAAGATGACATTAGGCATATTTCGCGAACTAATCTGCGAAATTCCACGACCGGCAGGATTTCAGTTGATATGCCTTCAATAGTAAATCGGGACGGGCTTGCCGAAGTGGACAGAGTTCCCGTTTCTATAAGGAGACAACGTTGGGAAAAATTTATTAAGCAAGAAGACGAAAAACCATCTTATGAATTCAAGACATCTAGCCGTGTACGGGCTCGGCGAGTATGTTTGCTTGATACTAACTTTTGCAGCATTCTCTCAAACAATCCCATTCTAATGTTCCCGTTGTAAGAAGTGATCTTAGTCAAGCAGAGCGAGAAAAACTTGAAAGACAAGCCGAATTAGATAGCCTTAGGATGACGCGCCGTATTCTATATTATGATGAAAA